ACAGCTTACATTGGTAGACCTGGATATTAAGTGAGGAGCTGGGTCAGAGGTACGGAAGGCAGGGGATGAAACGGTACTAGTAAGCTCTCTTGCCTTTTCATGATGTTCAAAACAGAGCAGATGGAAGTAGGCCAGGCTGGGCACGAGTCAGGATCTGCACAGTAAGACTATGTGCCAAGAGAGCTCACCTTCTCCTTCTTCAGATTTGTGAATTTTACCAAGCCGCATTGAAAACGGGCTAAGATGATTCTGTTGTCTACATTAGCCTACCAAAAGTACAAGAAAATAAGGAAATAACTCCCCCTCTGGTCCTACTTATCATGATTTTCTGCATCTTTGTGGCATCTCTCTGAAGCACCAGCTGAGGAATAGCAGAGTGAACAGCTCGAGACACCCGAGAAAGGGAAAGCAAATATAACCAGGTAGGAGGCTGCGAGAGAGGCAAGGAACAGGGCAAATCTCTCTCGGAAAAAGAGGACATAGTGGTACTGAAGGATAAGAAAACAAGGGGTGGGTGAGAAAGAAAGATGGGACTAACGTGTTGACTCTGAGGGCTTTGGAGACTGCAGCAAAGTCTTGGAAACAAATTCCAACTATAAAGCTGACCTGGAACATGTATGTGTTACAGCAGTTGTTGGAGAGTTTTAGCATCTAACTGGATCCCTGCCAAAATTTTCTGGCAGCATGCTTTTTGGGGAAAAGAGCTGTCTAGAGATTCCAAGGGGAAGCGTGCAGAAGATCAGCAAAACGCACCAAATCAGCAAAAACATCATCTGTGCTGCCTGCAAACAGAACATTTCTTTCCTGTACAACCCTTCTGCTAAGGCCCAAATACCCAAGATCTTTTTTTCTTGTAGAGACAGAGGGGCTAAATATCACTGCTAAGGAGTAAACTTTAGGAGAAAAAAATAACAGAAGCTGCCAAAATGAAGCAAAACGGAGGGTACAACCAGAAGCAAGTCTTCTGGAGCAGTTGTTCATCACCGACTCTGCTTTCTTGTGTAGTACCATAACTACCCGACCAGCTAAGCTCGCTCACTTTGCAAGGCTCCCGCTGAGGTCGTCCAGGCACCAAGACAGCTGTCTGTTTCCACGCGCTGCGATTCCCAAAGCACGGCACACTGCTCTTCCACCCACACCATGCAAAATATTTTCTACCTCCTCATTTGCTGTTTTAAAAGCCTCGGGAATTGTCTAACTTCATGCTCATCCTCACCAGGCACAGGACAAAAGGATGGATGTCAGGAGATCTGGATTTGATTCTTAACTCACATTACAGACTTAAACTTGGGAAAAGCCAGAACTTCTGAGTGTCAGTTCTTAACCTGCAAAATGGGATAACTGCGTTCCTCGATTACCTTCTCTTCTCTATTTTGAAAAGTGATATTTTGGAACATTTAAGCTCTGAAACACCTGTCAGGCCTGGACAAAGGCCAACATTAGAAAACTCCAGCAAATCACAAGCACGTCGTAATGGACCTGAACAAAAACTGTCAGTAAGCTAAATCCAGTAAGCGGTTGCCACCGTTCTCACGGGACCACGGTTTCCCCCTCGGGCACTGCGAGCTCCCTGAGGAGCCCAAAGAACTTGTTAGTCTAAAAAGAACAACCAGCTCAACCACTATCAAAATAGGTGCCTCCCCCTGCATGGGGAAATTCAACAGTAAAGCCTCCTCCCCTCTTTTGCTTTTTTAAAATCCTACTCCAAGAAAATAAAATTTTAACAAACAGCTTTATTCATACTGGACTTTTTTTCACGTTCTCGTAGGAGCCACCACACCCAACTACAGCTTGAGCTAAGAACTAATTAGACCTTTATACAGCTATATTATTAAATCTGCATATAGTTTTATTATTCGGCAACACAGCACTAATTTTCTTTAATAAGAGATGGGTGGGGAATCTGAACCACGCTGTTATCTAATTTTAAACACAGGCTGTCCACCTGCTTGGCATATCATGTTCTCCATTCCTCCACTCCACCCTTTAGCAAAATAATACCTTGATTTTGCATCCTATTCTCCCCTCCCCTCGAGGAGTGGTTTATAATTACCGCACACCTTTTAGTTGCTGTCTAGAAATTCTGAGATCAGCCGTTTTCAGAAACAAACTTCCTTCCAACTCTTAAAAGGGCAGAGAGATCCTTTTTATGGGAAATCTTCCCAGTGGCCACAAGACAGGATCACATTTCAGAAGGCATGTCTAGGGAAGATAGACGAGTTCTCCTTTCCATTTCAAATGCCACCCTCCTCTGCTGCTCCTCCCCACTAAGCTACGGTGGTAAATAAATAAAGGATTTAATACAGCAGGACTAGCGAGAAAGCTTGTTTACAGGCACACAATAGTACTGGTGGTCCAAGAAGGTCAAGAGGAGCAGCAACTCCTCAAAAGCTGCTTCGGTACACGCACGCATTGGTTAAAATCAAAATATAGAATGAGCTTGAAGTCATACTTAAAAGGTGCTGCTAATATAAGTACTCATTAACCAAAAATTATTATTAACTTTTAGAGAGCTAATCTGTTCCGAAGCATGTAAGGCTGTTGCTCTCCACTCCATCACTTCACTGCTCACACGAAGCCTATTTACATATACTATCACTGCTATTCGCTTTGAAGGTGTTAAGAACGCTTCACCACACATACTTACCAGAGACATTCAACAATTCCTGGGACAAGAGATGAATTCTGCAGCCACGGTCTCACGTGCTGGAATATGACCTTTCATTTAAAGGCTTCCCCACCCCCACTCCAAAAAAATCCCAGAAATCCCAGTTTCTAACACTCACAGTGGCAAAGAAAACTTTGAAAACATCAACAGATTGTAAATCAATGATGGGCATTTGCCTGAATTTGCAGAAAGCCTAGGAGAACAGAATTCATGTTTGCATTACTCTCCTCATCTCAGTGTGGTCTATGATGCCCTCTGCAACGCAGAAGGAATGTGAATCTCAGCATAGTAACCCATTCCCCCCCTAAGGACCCATTCAGCAGTGTGTGCCATTAATATGTCTATTCCATGATCTCAAAGTGACTTCTGTCCTTGCCCTAGAAAGAAGCCTGAAATATTCTCTTTCCTTGTAATAAAGTCTGGGGTTTTTTTTTATTCCGAGAAGTTTTATGATGCAGCCAGGCACTGTCAAACATAAAGAGTCTGTACCATACAAAGAATGCAAAGACAATTAAAGTAAAATCATTTCAGTAAAATGGCAGGGAGCTATTGTTCTGACTGCATTGTTTATATGCAATTCAATTAAGCCTCTCTTTCAAGATGCACATGGGAGAAAGACGACAACTATGCAACAGCTTCAGCATGCAGCTGTACTCAACACTGTTGCTGAATTTAGCTCCTGCTTGCCATAGAGTATATAAGCCCTTGGATACATGCCTCTTCCTGTACATTCCCACCCACACAAATCCAAAACAGGGCCTGACCTTCCCCACTCTGCTTTGTCCATGCATCCCATACAGTCTGAACAGACTCCAGCCATCTGTCCTGCCAGCATTGCCGAGTGCTACGATCTGAACCAGACAGTTCAAGGAGGCTACCTGCTCATGCCTGCTTCTCAGCGTGCTGGGGTCCCTAGAGTTACCCTGCAGGTCCTGCATCGTTTCTTGAACTGCCTGGAGACATCTGAAAACCAAGCTGCTATAAAAGGTCCACAAAACATCACCCACATTCAAATCCTGCCATTAGGATGTACACAGTCAGGCACTATGCTCTGAGTCATGGTGCATCCTGAAGCAGGCTATTAACGTCCCGTTTAATTTATGGTCACCTCCTCCAAGCCTCACTGGTTACACTGAAAAGTAAGAACAAGTTTCCAGACTAAAGGATGAAGCATCGGCTATCCCTGTCCTCAGATCCAGGTTAACTGACGCTCTTTCTGTACGCACAATACACTTCCATGTGCGTGTTACTTTGAGAAAGCGAAACTGTTGGCATTGCAGAGGGATTAAGAAGTGGGTAGCACAGTTACCTAAGAGCTGCAAGACGCCACAGGTGTGTTAAGAAATTAAACCTCCACATTAGAGACTGGTGATATTGTGCAGAATACCACATTTCCAAGCGTCTGGAGCACAGATGTCTTCTCAGCCTAGGTTCCTGGCAGTATAACAGCACATTGCCATCAATATTCAGAATTCTTGATGTTTCTCCACGGGAAAGGAAGACACCTTCAGGCCCGACACTACTCTAGAAGTCCGCCTTTCGGATTCAGCATTTCTCGCTTTGCTATCCTTCCAGCTTTCCCTTTCTCCCCATATACCTTTGACGGAGTCTTGCTGACCTGTTTTGACTGGCCTGCTGACCTCTAAAAAGACTTAGCAGGTATCACTTATTAGACCACTTAACCACTCACTAGAAACAAGGGAAGTTTTAAATCCCAGGTGATGAGGAAATGCCCAGAAGACAGTAAAGGCTGCAACGGGCGACGTATGTTCCTCACGGTATTCAGCTACTCTCAAGCAAAACAAAATTTATCCAAGGAGCTGTGCTCCAAGTAGAGTGCTTCCTGTAAGAGAATAAAAGTTTGTCCCCGCCTTGCTTGAGAAGACAGCTTTAAAAAGATAAATCACATGTAAACTGCTGGTTTTACAAATAAATAAAACAATCAGATGAAATGAATTAAATTAATTCTCTGCTCGAGTATCAGAGCTGTCCTTGTTGGCACCTTTTCTTCAAGCGTTTTCCCCATTCATATAAAATGTTATTTTGAGTTATCACAGCAATATTACCCAAACCAATGAGAAGACCGAACACCAAGCCTCCAGTCCTGTATGTGGTAGGAAGATCCATTACTCCCCCAAATGGCAGGCAAGGCCAGTTCCAACACTCTTATTTCCCTTGTCACATCAGGTCAACGCCAGTTTGCGTTGCAATTAAATGCAATAGCAATGTGTAACAAGGGCTGAACACAATACCCCATGGGACACGAGTCAGACTTATAGTATGACAGCCATGCAGTTTAGGAAAGGAAGCCATGCAGAAAGGAAGGACTTACACCAGAGTTCATAGTAGTAGTTGCAACACTGGGACTGTCCACAACAGTGGCCCGTTTCACATATGTAACTTTGATTGTTGACACCCATGCAGGTTTCCTTGTCCTAAAATTAAACAGACACACTTTTAAAATGTTTTGTCAGTATCTCCTGTAAACGTATTATACCTTTTGCCCAAGCATCTTCAAGCATTTTGAAAAACACAAGTTATGGTCCTGGGAAATTCTAACATGCATAAAGAGATTAAAATACAGCTCAGGATCACCAAAGAGCATACACTACAATTTAGAAAAAACTCCCACATCTCCAAACTCAAGAGTTGCAGCGCTAGACAGCGCTGTTTTCTCACAGTCCCTTCCCTTTCCCACTATAGTTATCATGCTTTGGGAGCCAGGCATTCTCTTAAAGGAGAGATGCTGTTTGTTCCACGTTTTACACAATATTGCTGCGTTACTGGGGCTGAACGCCAAGTAAAGGAAATGCGTTCACATTGTAACTTGGGAAAAGGCTGCTTGGATTCATTTAGATCTAAATGATAATTACAGTATGTTCCTGCAAGATTCCAATCTAAAATGATTCCTTCATAATTAGTTGTGCGCTTTAAATAAGATCAGCATTCCTGTAAAAATTACTTCTGGAATAGTGAAGTATTCTAGGAGCAGAGCCAAATCAGCTGTACTTTGTCACCCAGCAGTCCTCAGGACACTTAAGAGATGGGAAAGACCTACGGTGTGAGCTACCAGTGCCCCACACAATGCAGAACGGCCTCAAAAGTGGCTGTATTTTCCTGCTTTGACTAGTCTGAAAATATGGGTGGCAAAAATTACAAAACAGGAGAAGAAAACAGAAGCACTTTTACAGGTTGTGGAGCGTAACTCCGCTAATAGGTGTTAGAGCAAGCTGGCACTTAGAAGACAGTACAGGACCCCTCAAAAAACAAACTGATCTTAAGAAAACACATTGATGTTGCAAGCAAACCTGTAACAAAGCCTAAAAGTTTCCCCTTAATTTCACTTAGCTTTTCTTATAAAAAAAAGTGCAAAATATAAAGTCTACTTTAAATTATGAACCTTTCACCAGATCACCTCACCAAACAAATGATGTAAGATAGCAGTTCCAGTGGAGAAGAGCCCTGCACTAAGTGCAGGAAAAAAAAAAAATCTACAAAGGTAAATCGAAAGTGTAGACAGAGACAGTCTTAAAACAGCATTTGTTCAAACTTCATAGCTAAAATGACAGCAGTTTTAGAGACTGTGCTTCCAAGAAAGGAATTACCATTATTCTTGATATTCAACACAGCTCACAGGTTATCAACATCTCTGTGTATTTTATTGCTTTTTTGTTTTTCTTTAAACAAGCGTTCTTTCACCACTTCAGTAAACATACACACTATAATTGGCTGCAATGATGTAGGTGAAACCCAGCTCCCTGTTTTTCTTAAGGAGACTCCTCCGATTTTGGGATCCGCGCAAGCGCTAGCCTTCCCCCACCACACAGCACCTCGACTGGAGTTGTACCTCCAGGGGCGCTGGCCTTCTGGGACCCGCACCTCAGCGCCCAAACTAGAGCAGCAGTATAACTTCTAGTATAATTTCTCTTGCCACTTATTGTGCAACAGAAAGGGTCCCACGCTGCGTTTTTCCCAGAAGAAGTCACACCGACTTTTGAAAGGGTTTTGACCGTAGAGGTGAGGGCACAACTCAGCAAACACAGCTCTACGTGAGATATACCGCTTCCCTCCAACTGCAGGTATCACTGAGTGCACAAAAGGCTCTAAAAAGTACCCACAGGACATCTCCTTAAAACTCACCAGCAATGGCACCAGGACCAGAGGGTGCCTGCCTCCTATTTCCAGGGAGGGAGGGAGGGAGATTTTGCTGGACAGATCAGCCAAAGTGCTCTACTGTACGTACCTCAAGCAAACATTTTATATTATTTTCTTGAAATGCCACATGTCAGTAACAGACACAGCATCTTCCGATAGGATGAGCAAGTGTTCTCCATCTCTAACTACAATGCTTGATGGTGACTTTTATCGGAGACTGTTGAGCTAGCATAGCATTTTCTGCTTCGGGCACAGAATTCATTCCAAAAAAATATAATCATAGTCAGCAAAAGAACGAGAAACAGGACACACGTATCTATTCTCTTATCTGTTCTTATTAGTTTATGTACACTTTTCCTCACTTTGGTTGGCCTTGCAGAGTTAACGCAACTGAAGAACAAGATAGATTTTGGCTCTCCCATCCACAGAATTGGGAAATTAAGATCCAGTTGCCAAACTGCAATCCCGTTGATAAATCATAAGGCAGAAAGTCACCAGCTGAGGTCTGCAGTTGTGACACATGGAGATCAATGTGGCATGCTGAACAAGCAAATGAATCATTTGAAGTTGGTGAAAGAACAGAGCTCCATAGTGTCATTTCAGGCACTCCCTTGCATCACAGCACCCATTTGTCCCTGACCACCTATGCTTATTCTAAAAATTTCATTCCATTCAACGTTGCCTACTTCAAAGGGTAGAAGCGATCAGGAACACATTCACGTCTGTTGGCAGCAGCAACTTATAACAGCATCAACATCACTAGTTTTTCCCCACTTAAGACCTTGCAGCAATCCTGTTTTCAGAGGCTTTCACCACATCATCCTTTATTTTGAACTTCCTGACTTCCTCTTGCCATGCGTACTAGATTTAAGACAACCTTGTCCTAGTGCCATATGCACAGGGTTGCTTCTTGTTAGCCCAGCTGGCAAACAGGTCTATGAGAGGATGACCTAGTCTATTGAAAAGGAAATCCCCAACAGAGGTTGGTATGCTGCAGGCTGCTCCTAGCTGCTTTTGGAGATCCAGCCTCAAAAGACATCCTGCTTTCCGATTTAAAAGTAGAACCAGCTGCATTAAAGACTGTCGTATAAGCTTACGTGTTTGTAGCTTCTTTACATACTGGCCAAGAGAAAGCATCTTCCTTGCTTATGTGTACGTGCTTGTACCTTGAGGCAGCCCAGGGTTTGAAAGCCTTTGGGCTACCAACCAGCAATGGTGCCCCTCAAAGGCCGAGTAGGATACAAGATTGGGTGTACTGTGCTGGCTGCATCAGGACCAGGAGCAGGTGGGATGGGCAGTTCCTCCTGGAGCCCTTCTGCAGCTCTCTGCCAACCCTGCCACGGATGGATTTCTGGGAATACGGAAGCTGCCAGACTACGATCCCTGTGCCAGATCCAGAATTGTCACACTTGTTTCCAAACAGTTTCACAGAATAATTTCATTTGGAAAGGCTCCCAGCAGGTCATGTGGTCTAACCCCCTGCTCAGAGCACAGCTACTACCTTCAATGTTGGGTTACTCAACTCAGCACGGGGGAAGAGTTAAAGGTAAAGGCCCTAAATCTGAAGTTGTCTATTAGACAGAGCATTCTAGTACAAGGAGAGTAGTGTTTTGGATAATGTTACAGATGTCTCCTTCGGACCAAGTGTTTCAGTCTCCTATCCTCTTCCCCTCGAGGCAAGAATCATTTCTGTGAAGAGTTGAGTCTAGCGTACATTTTCTTCCATGGCTGGGCAAGCAAAGGGAGAGGTTATGCGCTGCCCTCAGCGCAGGCCATGACACAACCCATGCCATTTTTTGTTAGAAACCCAGTTACTGCCAAGCACTTTGATTAGGCTTTGATTTCTAATTAAATACCCTTTGAAACCTTTCATACCATTATTGCTGTATTATTTTTACTTCCTTCTCCCATTCTTCATGTTAAATGTGGCCAAATTATAGCTACTTAAGACATATCAGCAATGTAGTTATCGATACTCTAAACATTGCCTCCAGGACATAACATCACAAGTAGTTGTACTATTCAAGTACCCAGTCTCCTCTTTCACACCAACAGGCATGGACAAGGCATAGGATTGACAGAGCAGTTTTACAGGCAAGAAACGTATATATGGAAAAAATATCTCACAGAAGCAAAGCTGGAAGATTCACGTTTTACTGACCTGCCTTTATTCCCAGTTTCCATTTCTAACAGTACTTGTAACAATCACTTTAATCTTCCTTAGCAGCATGGAGATTTTATTGAACTACTAGAAAGGGTTTTTGGTTTTTGTTTTAACTAGTCTTAAGAAGCAAGCAGAGGAGGAGGGTTTCTTCCCATAGTGCTTTCTTCCCCAATAGCCACCGGCTATTGCATTCCAGTGCAGGCTTCCCTGCTGAAGGACGGTCTTGTTTTCTGGTTGTTGAGGCAAGCACATCCCTCCCCACCAGCTCACTGCAGACACCTCCAGACAGGATTACTAAGCAGCGTCTACACGGGTCTGTTCTCAAAGAACGTTCAACTCTATTAAAGCAGAATATTCCTGTTTGGCAACTAAGAGGCCTGAACATGCCATCCGTTATCTCCCTCCTGCAAGCCTAAGAGATTTGCAGCTCCTTTCAAGGAGCTGGCTTTGTCCTGTACACAGCACGTATTCTGGGCTGTAGGTACATCACCGCCTCTCTGGCAGTACCCTAAGCACGGACACAAATCGGGGAAACTGGAGTCACTAGATCCCAAAGCTATATGCATTTTCAAGAGAAGGCTCTCCAGCCTCAGAGTCCGTTTTCTCTCCTCATCTGGTCTAACAGAGGCCATTTGCTCAACCTAGCGCAGGCTTTTTCTCGAGAAACTGGTTGAGTTGGCAAGACCTCATCTTGCTAGGTTTGGAGAATCTCTTTGTATTTTAGATGTGGTGGTTTGAAGTAGTTTTTCCTTTTTGTAATAAGTAGACTTTAAAACACAACTTTGAATAAAAATAAAATGATTTTTTTTACTTATTTCCCTGTTGATACATTGGCATTTGACCAATAACCAGGCTGGCAACTCTGCCTGTAGCACGCTTTCCCTGTCAAGTGCTTTACAAATAAACCTTAAAACATCCAGTCGAGGTTGACATAGGCAGAACTCAAGGCAATGCCATATGCTGTCATGTCTGAAGCTACAGCAAACATTAACATCAGTGCCAGGGATAAAAGCTAGTTATTTTCTCCACCTCCCAGTCTAGTATTGGAGCTTTGCTGGAGACCTATGTGACAAATTAAGATCAACATTTGGGGTATGACCAAAACAGGAGGTACTC